CAGGTAAGAGAGCCTTTGTGAGTGAGGCTGCATGGCCAATGTCTCTGTGGCAGCACTGGCCCAGCACTGGCGGCAGAGGCCCCGTCCTGCTGTCCTGCTCATGCGTACTGCTCCTCAGGTCCTCCATCGAACAGCTGGGACTGGGCAGCCAGCGGAAAGCGGCCCTGGTGGTGCCAGCATTTGAGACCCTGCACTACCGCTTCAGTTTCCCCACTTCCAAGGAGGAGCTATTGGCCTTGCTAGATGCTGGTGCTCTCTACACCTTCAGGTAGGAGAGGGTGCTGCCCAACCCAGCTCTGCTCCCCATGCTGGCCCACCACCCACAGGTCCTAGCCTTAGTCTGGCTCCCTGTCTGATCCTGCTGCACAGGTATCATGAGTGGCCCCGGGGTCACGCACCCACAGACTACACCCGCTGGCGGGAGGCTCAGGCCCCATACCGTGTGCAATGGGCAGCTGACTATGAGCCCTATGTGGTTGTGCCACGTGACTGTCCCCGCTATGACCCCCGCTTTGTGGGCTTTGGATGGAACAAGGTGGCCCATATCATGGAGCTGGATGCACAGGTGAGGAGCTGCTACTGAATACTGGGTCCAGGGAACTCGCAGTATCTCTGCCTGGAGAACCACGCCATGAGGCAATACTGTTAGAAGTTTCCCTTCTGGGCTCGGCGCCCGTAGCTCAAGCAGCTAGGGCACCAGCCACATACACCAGAGCTGGCAGGTTCGAATCCAGTCCGGGCCTGCCGAACAACAACTACAACAACTGAAAAATAGCCCAGACGTGTGGCAGGCGCCAGTAATTCTAGCTACTTGGGAGGCTGAGGCAAGAGAATCGCTTAACCAGGCGTCCTCAAACTATGGCTGGCGGGCCACATGCAGCCCACTTAGGACATTTATCCAGCCCGTTGGGTGTTTTTGCCGCCACTGCCTGTCCTGCTTAGCAGCCAACTTGTCCCGGGGCCCGCAGTCGGACCCTCCAATGGTCTGAGGGACAGTAAACTGGTCCCGTTTAGAAAGTTTAAGGACCCCTTGTAAGCCCTAGAGTTGGAGGTTGCTGTGAGCTGTGACACCACGGCACTCTACCCAGGGAGACAGCTTGAGACTCAGTCTCAAAAAAAAAGTTTCCCTTCTGGAGAACTAAAATCATTAGTTCTTAACAGCTTTAGCTGTTAAGGGCTGGATTCCCAGGGCAGCGTCTCCCCACCAGCGCAGGCAACCTCTGTTTCCCTGCCCTGCAGGAATATGAGCTCCTGGTGCTGCCTGAGGCCTTTGCCATCCACCTGCCCCATGCTCCAAGCCTTGAAATCTCCCGCTTCCGCTCCAGCCCCACCTATCGTGACTGCCTCCAGGCCCTCAAGGATGAGTTCCATCAGGACTTGTCCCGCCACTATGGGGCTGCTGCCCTCAAATACCTCACTGCCCTTCAGCAGCCTCAAAGCCCCACCTAAGCCTCCCAGGCTGGAGCTGCATGGGCTCACCCCGCCCTTCACCTTTGCTCCCTCTTGTACCCCCATGGACACTAGAGCAACCTTGCCATTCTGCTGCCCTCCCACCATCACTATTTAAATTATTTAAGGTGGAACCCCTGTGGGGTAGGGTCTGGGGTCCTCCCCTTGCTGCTATTCTGGGGTCTGGTTTCCCACTGCCCCAGCCGGTTTGGGGCCGGTTCCCCTACCTTTGATTATATACTCTTTTTTCATAATTAAAGTTTAAAAAATTCTTTTTAATGTTCCTCCTGGTTTGGGGGATTCAAGGCCTGGTTCTCTGAGGCGTGAGGGCCTCACTGAGCAGGGGAGGTGCCCAGTCGGGCCTGCGCCCTCAAGGGCAAGAATGTCTTCCCAGAGAGTGTAAGTTGGGAAGGTCGGAGCCTGGAATGGGGATGTTTCTTGCCCACCCTCCCCTGCCCCAAACCCAAAACCATGAGGCTGAGAGACTTTATTTGGCTTTATTTAGTAAAATGTTAAAATAAATAAATACAAATTGATCAGCTGCTCTGTATCCCCCCCACCCCCTCAAAACAAAAACCAAACAAACAAAAACAAAAATTTTGAAGCACAAAACTCCAAATACAAGTTCTACCAAGACTGAAATCACAAAGGGCATGGACAAGAGACAGGATTGGGGTCTGGCTGGCTCTTCTCTGCACGGAGCTTGCTGACCGCCGGCCTGCCTGTCCCGCCCGGCCTGACTGCAGCTCACCCTGGGCTGAGGACCAACAATAGCGGAGAGAGGTGAGGGGCCAACGGCTGCTGTGGGGTGGCAGAGTCCTCCGGGAAGAAGGGCTTGTGAGAGGGGGTGCCAAGTGGAATCTGTGAGCCCTGCCTTCCCTTTATAAGAGCTATTTTTAAGAACTCCTACCCCAGCTCTCTGGATAACCCCCTGCTTCCTCTTCTTCACTCTAGAGGGAGGGCCAGAGGACTTTTCCCAGGAACTACCCACCCCCTTCTTCAAGAGGACCTGATAAGGAGAACAGGCTGAGTTAGGGTGAGAAAGGGACCCCTGCTTACTGCCAAGGATGCCTGGCTGAGGGGTGGGGGCAAGGTTCACATTTACACAGAGCAAAGTCACCTCCACCCAACAGAAGCCAGGGGATCTGGAGCACTCAGGGCCTAGAAAATGCACCTGGGCAACTATCCTGTTACCCTAAGAGCCTTTGCCCTTGGGGTAAAAGTCTCCTAAATTCAGCCCTTTGGATAAATCAGGAGGTCCACACCCTAGGAGGACACCGTGGTAAAGCGTGTAAGCTAGGGAGTAGGAGTAGGAGGTGCGGCTCTGAGGAGGCTTAGATGGAAATGAGCTGCAAACATGGTCACCTCGGGGGATGAGCTGTGTGCAGCCTCACCAATTCACATGCACACTGGGCATCCAGGCAGGCCACGCAGGGAAGCCAGGCACTCGGATGGTGCTTGGTGGAGGCTGCCTGGGCCATGTCATGGGCTCTACAGACAGTTCCCATACAGGCCCCTGTCAGGCATGACCAGCAGGCTCACCCCAAAGGGCCCAAAAGGGAAGGAAGAAACCAGAACTCCAGATGCGCTCAGCAGAGGTAAGACAAGACCCAACAGGCTCCGTGAAAGAAAAAAGATCTGGCAGGTGACAATTCTGTCAAGAAGCAGACGTGGGGATGAGAGCAACGTGACCTCACTGCCTCTAGGACGCAGGGGCCAAACAAGGGGACTCCCCAGTCTGGGCCCAATGTGTAGCCACTCCCTGGTCTCTGAAATGACTACAAAGCCAGCTGATCTCAGGCTGTTAGAGTAGCTAAATTCTGGGCCACCGGGAAAGAGCAGCAGGGAAGAGGAGGAAGAAGGAAGTGGAGAGAGCTGGGGGTGGTGGTGGTGGTGTCATAAGCATGTGTCTGAGATAGTCACAGGTACCCAATCTGGGAGGACAGAGTGGAGCTCTTCTGTCATGACAGCGAAGTAAAAGGAGATTTGAGTGATATGAACCTTTACAGTCGGTGTCTTGTGTTTTGAGTCCAGAGTGTAGGTTTGAGGGCAGGGTTGTATCCTGTACTCCATACTAGCTGACTCACAAACAGCTCCCATCTGAGCATTAGGAAGAATCCATGCCCCAACTTCAGGTGAGGTTTGAGTGCAGTGGACATTGCTCAGAGCAGCAGACAAAACACTGGCCAACTTCTAGCCCTGTTCCCCAACCCAGACTCCTCAGGCAGCTCCTCTCTAAAAGCAAAGGCCTCTAGTGGTGATGGCTTCCCAACTTCTTTCAGGGAAAGATAGGTATCATGTGGCAACCCCTAGCCTGCAGGCCCAGACAAGTCCAAGGGGAAAGCTCTGAGACAGGATGTACAGCCTTCCACGTCATCTCTGTTTCTCTGCCAACTACCCCTCCACTAGACCAGGCATCTGCAAAGCTCCTGGAGGAGACATAGCACCTTGGTTTCTGAATGAGAAGGAACTCTTCTCTGTCCCCCTCAACCAATGCAGCAAGGCAGGGCCTGACTGAGGCCTGTGCAGACAAACCTCATTCCCTCTTCTGGTATCTCAGGAAGGTGAACAGAAACGGCAGGTATGGATGAGACATATTTTACGCTAAGAAAAATCTCTCTGTTCCATGTGTTTTCAGGGTCTTTGGGGGCCTAACTGGGTGGGAGACAAGCTAATGGGACCTTTTCTGCCACTCCTAGACTCTGGCCATTACAAGATTCTGGGGCAGGCTTGGGGAGATGGACGAGGGTGCAGAGCCTCCACTTCCCTCCATTCAGCCGGGGGCACACAATGGGCAAGGATCTCCAGCGAGAACATGCTTCTGACACAATTATTTTCCCCCAAGGCAAAAAGAAAGAAATGGTCAGAGCCTTCCAGAAGAAGGAGAGGCCACAACAGGCCAAGCCAAGGCAAGCACAGCAATTCCAGCCAAGGGTTACCCAGGAACCTTGTGGGTAGGCAGAGTGTAGTAAATGCCATCTCTGGTGCCTGGAGCCAGCAGGCACAGAATGTGGCTCGAGCTTCACACCTCTCTTCCAAGGCAAGACAGACAGACAAAAAGGCTAGCCTGGGGCTCTCACCCTCAAGACATCTCTCTTCTCCTTTGTTCCTTCTGAGCACCAAGGGCTGATGCAGCCAGCCTGCACCTCCACACCCTCCCTGCCAAGGCCAGGGTGCACGAATACCACTGAGGCACACTGGCCACTTCCCTCAGAGGTGTCCCCCAGGCACTCGAAATGCTGGTGGCTGAAAGACCAAGAGCAGCACCAAAGGAAGGGATCTTATTTAGGCACCAGCCTTTTGCTCTAGCAACGTCTGAGGAGACCACGGATAGGACCCTGAAACCATCCATACTCCATCTGGGCTTCAACAACAGACAAGATCCCTGCACCAAGAGGAGAGGACAGTTTTTTTCTGAGGAGGGGAGAATGGTGGGGAGCCTTGCCCTGCCCCTCATGGAGGCCGGCCCACCAGTCTAGAGACACACACAGCAAAATGTCATCGTGATCAGCAGGTTCTGTGCTAAAAAATTATAACTACACGGCATTTTCTCCAGTTCTGACACCTTTTTAATAGAAATCACTGTTTTTAGGAAACAAATAGCACTTTTGTAATTTTTTTTACAATGTTTCTTACCTTGATCTTAATTTTAAGTAACACTAGGAAGACCTCAATATCGTTTATTTTCCTTTTTAATTTAAAAAAAAGTTGTTGTTGTTTTTTCCCCAGATACAAAGATTTTTGCCCTTGCATAAAAAAACAGTGCCCGAACGATGACACAAGGACTCACAAAGACTCACTGGACCTCACTGACACTATGATTCCTATTCTACCATGCAAGGTCTCGACTACCCTTAATTGGACTGTCAGCCTGAAAAACAGCTTTTCTATTCCTTATTTTAGTTTTTTGTTACCAAGAAAGTAAAATAAACAATAAAATAAAACTTTCTTTAAAAAAAAAAAGAAGAAAAACAAAAATAAAAGAGGAAAGAAACATCTCCATTCAATTCACACACACCTGGGTCGCGTGCTGCTTCGCTCAGATCTTTTCTTCTTATAAATATAGAAAAGGGATGGAGCTTGTTTTCAAGTAAAATCACTGATCCACCTTTTTCCCTTCCTGGACACACACACCTTTCTTCCCTGCCTCAGGCACGGGGCACCCCAGCTCTGCTTGTTCTTGGAGAGGAGACAACGGATCACCAAAGGGCTGCAATCACCAAGCGGGGAGGGAAGGGGAGTCGCAAGGCTTCAGGAGTGGTGGGGATCCCCGCGTGGTGAGTGGGGCATGTGGGGAGGAGACCCTGTGGGGTGTTCTAGGTGTCCACCTCCCTGTGCCAGCCCCCTCAGACAATACTAAATACTGCTTGGTTGCTCCACTTTCCCACCCCTGGTTCCCTCCCAGCCACTCCTCTTCCCTCTTCTGGGCACTGGGATTGGTTCAATCTCAATTTCCTTTTTTGGTTTTATAGTAGTGAAAGTTTAGGAACAGGAAAGCCCACACACTCTTTGGACTCATCTTTTCTACCTAAGCAAACGGCTCAGCAAATAAGGGTCTGAAACCTGCTCTCCTCCCTCCGCCCGTCCCTGCTCCCCGCCCAAGGAAACAAAAGCAAACCCATCGTGGCTGTGGAGGCTGCTGCAGGCACACACTGGTGTATAATAGAGAGAGTAAATATATTATTTCACTTGGCATGGTGCTGGCAAAGAACCTCCAGCTGGCACTATTTCATGTAACATGGTCCAATCTTTGCATGTACACACAGAATAAGAAGGATCAATTGGCAAACTCTGGTGCCACCTGGCACAAGCATCTTCTCTCTCTCTGGAACCAAAGAACCAAAAGAATTCTGTACTTTCCAGAAGAAATCCGGCTTTGCTTTTCTAGAGTCTTCAGCGTTTTGCTCTCCTTGCCGCCGGGATCCCGTGGCTTCTCCTAGAGGGGCTCTGTTATTTAGTCTCTTCCCCCTGGTTACAGTTCGCTGTACAGCTCTGGGAGGAGGGGGAAGGGGCCGGTGTGGAGGTGGTGGCGTTGGCAGGGGGGGTGCAGTCCGGGCCATTGGAGATGGCCCCCACAGTGGCCTCAGAGTCTACAGGTTTGGAGAGGTCAATTCCGTGGATGAGGCGAATCAGCTGTTTTACCTTCTCCAGGGAGCTGTGCATCTCCTTCTGCCGGGCCAGTATGGTGTTCTTCATTTCCATGCATTTCTGCAGCAAATGAGAAGGGCGGTGGCACTGAGCCTCCTACTTTTCTAACACCCCCCCACCCAATATCCTGAGGGAATGAGCTCTATCTGTCCAGGTAAGGGAGCCCTCCACTGCCTGGTGTGCAGTCCCTAGGCCTTGTTTGGCTCCTTAGTGGAATGGGCAGCTCCTAACTAAGGAACGAGGCAGGGGTGGAATGGCCCATGGTGCAGAGCACATGCAGGCAAAAAACTATGTGCATGAGCACAGCACTTACAACCAAACTAGCATAAGCACCATAATACTAGGAAATAAGTCATTAAAAACAAAGTTCCCGGGTGGCGCTTATAGCTCAAGCAGCTAAGGGGCCAGCCACATACACCACAGCTGGCAGGTTTAAATCCGGCCTGGGCCTGTCAAACAATGACAACTACAACCAAAATGTAGCTGGGCATAGTGGCTGGCACTTGTAGTCCCAGCTACTCAGGAGGCTAAGGCAGAGAATCGCTTGAGCCCAGGAGTTGGAGGTTGCTGTGAGCTGTGATGATACGGCACTCTATCCAGGGTTATGGCTTGAGGAGCTGTTTCAAAAAATACATAAATAAAGTTCCCAAGGCTACCTGGAAAGTGGTTTAGGCAGCTTTTGAGACGCTTCTCTCATGCTAATTAATGACCTTCAGGACTGGACTGAACTCTCCAGGGTAGAAAACAAGCCAGTGATACCTGGAGTCAATCTGAGGGCATACTTAGGGTCATTTGGTCAGTAAGAATTTAGAGGCAGGAACTGGGATGGGCCAATGACATTTAGGAGAATCTAACATAGTCCAAGGTCAAAAGACTGCAGACAGTAGGACATCTTTTACTCTCAGCTCTCCACACCTGCTACCTTCTATTTTAGGCAGGGAAAGAACACCATGGGTAAGTACGGCAGGGAGCAGAAAGCAGGTAAGTGGGACAACTCAACTCCATCAAGTTTAAGACACCACCTGGTATACCCTTGTTGCAAATACAACCCTTTTCCCCACCTAGATAGACTGGGCTAGGCAGTACTTACTTCTAATACTTGTCTCTAGAAACCCCTCTTCCTCACGGTGGTCAGGAAAACCAGTAAATGTTATTGGCAAGGTGTGGATAAAGGGAGAGAGGGGAGGGCCATATGCATTGACCCCCCAGCTCAGGCGACTAGAAAGAATGACATGAGGGCTCCAGGTCTGTGTCTGCTCCGCATCGGGTGAGGCTTTACACTCTCCCAAACACTGTCAGGAAAATGCAGGGGTGGTGGCTACACAGTTGTAGCTGTTACTTAATATCTACAGCTGGAGACTGAAAATCCTCTCTCAGATTAAAGAGGATGTTCCAGAGCTTGGATAAGGGCACCATTTACCCACTGGACACCTATACACCTATACCTGATGGCTGACTCTAACTGTTCATCTACAAACAGAAGGACCTGAACCAGCTGGTGTGTCCACATGTACTGTTCTGGACATAGTAAGGTTTGCAACTATGCACCTGTGTGTCTGCTGAAAGCATGAGGTCTACTTACACTTATAGAATTGCTGAGCTGTTTCACCTTTTGCTCTAGTTGTTCTCGTTCTTGTTTTAAATCTGAACTCCATTTAAGTAACTTCTGTTTCTCTTCTTCTTTTGCTGAAAAAAATAAAAAATAAAAAGGAATGGTTTTTGTTTTTTGTTTTTTTTTTTGCTCTGCTAAGAAAAGGTCAGTGGCCAAGCCTGGCTTTACATGAATAAAAAACTTCTCATTCACTCCCCAAGAAAGTGCTACAAAAACTCAGTACTTCATTCAATAAAAGACTTTCATTTTTAACTTTAAATTTCCTAGGGCAGTCCCTCTGACTCAAAGGAGTAGGGTGCCAGCCCCATATACCAGAGGTGGCAGGTTCAAACCCAGCCCCAGTCAAAAATTAAAAAATAAAAAAAAAAGAAAATGAAATTTCCTTTTGAAAATGAAACACATATTGCCTTCTCGCACTTTCTGTAAACAAAAGGAGGCTCCCAAGATGGGGCCTGGCAGACCCTCACCTGCTTTGTACGCAATGTAGGAGTGGACGATTGCTAAAGTCCCAGGCCATGGAATCGCCTCTTCCTTCTTCAGCATCTGGAAAGATGTTTAGAGTTTTACTGTGAGAAGGATCATTAAACGTATGTCACAGTAAGCAGTGGTCTCTGTGGCTACTGGCAGATAAAATCCAGGAAGGATGTATATAGCAGAGTTGCAAAACTTGGTCTATAATTTCTAGATTAACCAGTTCCAAATATCAGCTTAGGAAAATGAAGTTCACAGGCAGAAAGAGCCAAGGCACTGGGAGGAAGTTAGGACATGGCTGAATGCCCTGCCCTTCCACAAGCCAGGCAATCCTGACTACTCCCAACTCCAGAACAACACAGAAGCGGCACCTCAGAGCAATGGCCATGGCCATGGGCAAGCATGTCCTTGACCTGACGGGAGCTGCCTATCTCAATTTTAGCTTTACCCGTCTCCCAAAGACAGCCTGATCAAGGAAATTAAATATCAGCTCCAAATACTAAAGCATAATCTAGACCTTGTATAGAAAATTGTCAGAGGGCCACAAAGTGGGATCAGGAAGAGGACAGAATGACCAATGTTCTACTGTACCACAGAGACTGTAGTGTGAGGACCACAAGGAACAGGGAAAAACCATAATTCTCTCAAATGATCCCAAAGAACTGAACAGGATCCCAATGCTTGCTAGAAGCTACTGGGCTCATTTATTTATTATTTTTACTTTGCCTACTTCTAAAAAAGACTTGAAACAGCTTGTAATAAAAATCACAAAGGTATAAAGATACATAGATAGTTGAGAAAAACAGATTAGAAACCAAACAGAGAAGGAGGAAGAAGACTAGGACAGTCACTAACATGTCTGCCTTTTAAGTCCATGAAATATCAAGATGGCACTTCATAGTTAGTTTTCTGAGTCTGATGACAACAGAAGGTAGAAGCGAAACGGCTGTTAATTTGAAGTCATCAGTTGGTTTCCTTTAAGTTCCATATACAGGTACTAGGTTTGGACCATTTAGAGAATGAGGCAGGATGGACTTTTAAAAAGAAAATAAGTCATTTCAAACACAAGGAAGCAGTTAGTCTATCCACCTCAGTGGTGTGACAGAGAACCTCTGAAGGAACGAAGGCTGTGTCCCTGAGTGCTGGCTGGGCTGTGAACTGGGAAGATGTGGCCTGGAGAGGAACACCTGGGAGAGAGAAGAGACTGCCATTCCCCAGGACAGAATTCCTCCTGATGGTGGTGTCTATCTCTTCCTTGTCCCCTCACCCATCTGATCCCTCTGACCCACCCACCGCACCTGGTCCTGACATCTGGGACAGATCCACATGCCCTTGGGAATGGCCTTCAGAGGAGGGTCTAAGCAGTCCAGATGATACACACGGGAACACGTGTCACACATCAGCAACTGGCCGCTTTTTCTGCAAACACTGCAAAAATCCTCATGGATATCACCCTATAAAATTGAGAGGAAAGGTAAGAAAAAGGACAAAAAAGGTAAAATTTTCATGTTAACATGCACATCCTGGATGCATATAAATGTTTTAGGTCAACCAGCTGCCACATTACAAGACTGTTCAAGAAAAGTAGGAATCACTAGTGGTACAAGCCCCCACCTGCTCCATGTAACTGAGGTTCCCTGGGTGGGAGTGGAGCCCCTTATCCATGGGGAGTATGTTCCAAGAACCCTCACTGGATGCCTTGGATAGAATCATGGATAGAACCAAACCCTATCTACGCTATGTTTGTCCTTATACACTTGTACCTACGATTTTATAAGTTAGGCACAATAAGAAATTAAGAACAATAACCAATAAAACAGAATAATTATAACCATATATCGTAATAGAAGTTTTATGAATGTGTCTCCTTTGCTTTCTCTCTAAAAGTAGCTTAATATTCGCGGTTGACCATGAATAACTGAAGCCATGGCAAGTAGAGGGAAGGACTACTGTACTTTTTTTTTTTTTTTTTGTGGTTTTTGGCCGGGGCTAGGTTTGAACCCACCACCTCTGGCAGATGGGGCTGGAGCCTTACTACTTTGAGCCACAGGTGCTGCCCAACTACTGTACTCTTAATTTTAAATCAGAGTTTACATGAAAGGTCTGTAGTAGCCTAGGCCACAGTTAACTTATTAAGTGACAGAGAAGCATTTATTTTGTTTTGGAGAGACCAATCCACAAATCATAAATTTTATAGGTACTGAAATCCATTCATCAAAGTGTTTTACAATATGATATTTCTGATTATTTGTCATTTTTGATTGGGTTTAGAAGGACTGGGAAAGAAGACAGACCAAAAAATGGAGTTTTACTGAACTCCTTATTTGTTTGGTGAGAAAAAATACAGTGAAAGTTCAAATGGGAAAAAATTAAGTCAATAACAAATTAAACTCACATGAGCTTCCTAAAATGAATAATTTGGTAAATCTCTTGGACACTCTTGTTAAAAAAAAAAAAAGAAGATAAAACGAAGAACTTAAAAAGCCAGAGCAACAGCTGACCATGTTCTCCTGAAAACAGTATTTTGCATTTGCTGTTCAGCAGACCACTATCCTGTGGATCCTTCTGAGATACTTCACCGCAGTAAGAAGACAAGCAGCTCTCATCTACCCTGCCTGTCTCTCCCACCACCATCAGCGTGGAGAGGAGAACTTGGAAGAATAAAGAGCTATTAAAGAGGTATTGTTTTCTGCAAGTCAATCTCTGGCCTGTTCACTGGATGGGATTAACACCACTAAGGACACTAGGGAAGAGAAACCTGACGGGATGAGCCAGAGGTGACCCTGTACATCCAGCCAACAGTGTTGCTTTGGATTTCCAGGTCTAACACAGAAACTACATAGAAAGCAACGATCCAGAGAGCAATGCTGAGTCCTTCCTTTCTGTCCCTCTACCAACAGGATGCTCCCTGAAGGAGCACATCTTCATAGGCTACAATTTCTCTCTAAAGGAAAGGAATCGTTCTCTATAATTCACCAGAGTATTTAGCAGCCTACAAAACAGGCTGCGAAAAGGTATAAGATACGTCATAGTGTGACTGGATTCTTGTCTTAGCAAGAAGAAAATGTCACTTCTGGGCAGTAAAAAAGATAATTCAATAAATGTGCAAAAATATTACATGAGAACGCAGCCTAATAGTTTAAATTCCAGGCACCAAAAGAGGTAAGGTTCCACCTCCCGGTTAAACACAACTTTCTTCCTTCATTATTAAAATCAGGTCAAATCCAGGTGCTCTTCTCCTCTGGAGGGTTAGCCTTTTTGAACCTCAGTACCGAGTTTTAATTCTGCACCTTTATGAAGTTTATAAAAAATTTTGGTTTCAGAGATTGTTTTACACTAACCATAGATTATCAGTGGTGAAGTGAATGAGTCAAACTGGACATCTTATTCAGAGGGACTTATTGAAGTAAACAGAGTTTTGCTTACTTTCCTTTGCCCCTGAGTAAGGAGAACATCAAGTATAAGGTAGAGAGAAGAGAAAATAAAGACCAGGGCACCTGTAGTCCCAGCTACTCAGCAGGCTGAGGCAAAAGAATGGCTTGAGCCCAAGAGTTTGAGGTTGCTGTGAGCTATGATGCCATGGTACTCTACTGAGGATGACAAAGTGAGACTCTGTCTCAGTAAGAAAAAAAAAAAAAAAAAGAAAGAAGAAAAGAAAAGAAAGGCTAAATAATTTCTTTATGTTTGTAAAGGAAAGAAAAATTCTTATCTATTTATGTATCCCATAGCAGTAGTTCCTAATATTTTTGGTGTTAGGATCTTTTTACACTCTAAGGTTACTCAGGACTCCAAAGAGCTTTTATATGAATTATATCTATTGATATTTACTATAATACAAGTTATAAAACTTCTTAATTTTGAAATAATCACAGAATTGTAAAAAGTCACAAAAACAGTATATTGAAAAAATTTTAAACCCAAGAGCACATAGGCGTATCTTCTATTAGTCATCAGAGAGATGAAATTATCACACATCATGCAGTATCTATAAAATTCCATGTTCAGTCTTGAAAGAATGGAAGGAGATGATGTTTTAGCATTAATATGAAAATAGTTTTGATTTTATCATCCCTGAAAGAGTCTTGGAATTCCTATACTATACTTTGAAGACTGCTGCCCATAGAAATGAATATAAAATACCAAGATTTTTCATCCATACAGAATTGATTCTTTGTTTAAAGAGAACAGAGGAAGTCCATAAAGGTACTATGCCTGGTCAAAAAGGCTTAGGTTTTGTGACTGACCAAATAATTACCACAAACCAATAGTAAGTTGAAAGATGACTGGCCCATGATTCTTTGCTAGCAGGACATATCCTTTCAAGAAATGCACTGTCAAGTCTAACTTTATTATGTGCTAAAAAATTTTTTTATAAGTATGTCAACATACCTTCCCTTCTTATAAAAATGATGAGAGCGCCAACAAGGCACATCTGTAGGATTAGTGTCTGGCTGGGTCTTGTATTACTAAGTCCCTCTAGATGGTTACTGATCCCCAGAAATGCCGGCCTCTCAACTGTTACTGCTTAATTAATGTTATTGGGGCTTATGCTTCCCAGCAGCAAACACACAGAGCCCTGTCTGTGGATTTTGATCACTGCCACTGTTGGGATACTATAAAAATAGAAGTCGGCTCAGCGCCTATAGCTCAACCGGCTAAGGCGCCAGCCACGTACACCTAAGGTGGTGGGTTCGAATCCCCAGCCCGGACCCGCCAAACAACTATGATGGCTGCAACCAAAAAATAGCCGGGCGTTGTGGCGGGCGCCTGTGGTCCCAGCTACTTGGGAGG